TGAGCCTGCGCATCCGGAGCTTGTGCTCCGCAACGCGAGAGGCCACAACAGAAAAAGATTCTTAATAAAAAAAAAAAAAAAAAAAGAAGGTGGGGGCAGGGAGGGGGAACAGAGAAAGCCAGAAAAGGAAAGAAAGCACATGTGGCAAAATGTTAACAATTGGTGAATCTAGGTGAAAGATATATGGGAACTCATTATATTATTCTTAACTTTCCATAGGTTTAAAACAGTTTCAAAATAAAAAGTTAAAAAAAAAATTGTGAAAGCTACCGCCCAAGAGAAACACAGTGACATGGTGACATGGGCAGGAGAGGTTGTGAAGCCCAGTTTATACCTGAGAAAACCAGGGAACTGCCTCCATGTCCACATGGCATGCGGGCACGTGGACATGTGTGTGGAGTGTGTGCTCTGACTCTGTGTGTGACCAGCGCACGCAGCCCTTTGGGTGTGCAGTGTGCGTGCATGTGTGAAAGTAGACGTTCATGTGTGAAAGTAGACTCGCCCATGTGCACATGGAAACGCACCGGCACTGAGCCTGGCTCACCCTGTATTAACATGCCCCCAGCACACGAACAGGGCCGGTGGGACAGCCCGCAGTGGGCACCCAGGGGCTCAGCCCACCCCGGCCCCTGGCCCTACCTGTGCAGCCGAAGGCCACGGTGCCCACCGCAGCCAGGTTGATGGCATAAGCCTGGTCACGAGAGAAGAGCTGCAGCCACACGTCGCAGATGCTGATGAACAGGAGGGGGCCCAAGGCTAAGAGGTAGCCTGTGTGGGGAGAGGTCAGAGAGGTGGCAATCGATGGTGGGCTGGGCGAGCCCCCTCATCCCCCAACATAGAGCCAGGTCTGAGGAGCCCTCTCTCTGCCTTTCCCCTTAATACTGGGAGGGCGGGGACATCTTAGAGTTCTAGGAGGGGCACCCAGAAGGCTTCCTGGAGGAGGCGCCTCGAGCTGGGTTTTGAAGCTGAGTGTTACCATGGAGACAAATGGGAGAGGAAGAGCAGGGAAGAGCAAGGGCCCCGGGACACACGTGGGGTGCACAGCAGCCTCGCCAGGCGCAGGCATCATGCCAGCACGTGTTACACGCACATGGGCCTGACACTTTTCATAGCTGAACGCCATGACATTCCTAGGAGGTGCGCCCATCTTACAGACGAGGAGACTGAGGCACGCGCAGGGAATGGAGGGGCATGTGAGGGACAGGTGTGAGGGCCGGGAGCCGGGTGGGCAGCGGGCAGCGTACCGGCAGTGATCCTCGTGTGCAGGCTCAGTCTCTCCACCAGCGCGTTGTTCAGGAGCACAGCCACCAGCGCCACCAGGATGTAGGTGAGGCTCATGTCAAACACAATCGAGGTCCCTGGTGTGGGGGAGGGTAGCAGGGGTTCAGGGGAGCCCCACCCTCTGCACCTGCCCCTGCCAGGCACTGCTTCCTCCCTCTGCCCCAAAGGGGCTGACAGCCCAGAGAGGGTGAGTGGCTGCCCTTGGGGTCACACAGCAATTCACAGCCGAGCTAGGGTTTGAATAAAATGGGCTCCCCAAGTGGGGTCCTGCCCAAGGGGTTTCTGGAGGGTGGCAGGCCTGAGCCAAGTGTGCAGGGCAGCAGGCGACGGCAGGACGCGACTGTGGGGGACCCACCTGGGTACCTGTGGTGCAGGTAGTCCACGTCGGTGATGAAGCTATTGTACGGCAGCAGGAAGCCCACGCCAGCCAGGAGCGTTGCAAAGTAGACGGCGCGGTAGCGGTCGTCAGGCACCGGCTCCTCTGCCCGCAAACCCAGACGCCAGGTGAGACGCAGACCAGCCCATTCGCGGCCGCGACCACCACATCAGGGCTGCAGTCCACCAGGGCACCCCCATCACGACCACCATAGCCACAGCCACTGCGTCTGCCACCCGAACCACAGACACGGCCTCCCACCATGCATCTGTCACTGCCACCAGAAGCACTGCCACCTTAGCCACCATCACCATGGCCACTCTCACCATATCCAAGCCACCAAAGCCATCATGACCGTGGCTACTCTCCATCACTATGGCCACAGCTGCCCACACCACCACCATCATGGCCATTATCAAAAGTCACCAAACACCATGGCCACTGTCACCATCGTACCCACCATCATGACCACCATCACCCCACCCACGGTCCATCATCACCGTGGCCACTGCCACTGTATCCACCAGCATTACGGCTGCCGTCACCCTGGCCACCATCCATCCCCATAGCCATGGCTGCCAAAGCTGCTGCATCACAGCTGTTATCATCACCTTACAGCCAGTGTAACCATGGTCACCGTCACTGTGGCCGCTCTCCACCTTCATGGCCCCAGCTGCCCCAGTCATCACAGTCATGGCTGCCAGACATACAACCACCAATACCACGGCCAGTGCAGCCATCACCACAGCCACTGTCCGTTACCAAGAGGCTGCTGCCACCGTGACTCTCACCATCATGGCCACTGAAGCACCTGGCTAGAGAGAACAGAGAAGTGGCCTTTTGGAGACTCAGCTCCGGGACCAGCTGGGTGGCCAGACCTGGTGGGGCTGAGGCAGTGTCCTCTGGGAGGCGACCTATGCTCTAAACCAGCGTCCAATATACAGGGCTGATTCTCCTATAGTTAGTGTTCACACATCCAGGAACCGCGGGCGGAAGTGGGAGTGGGACCACATGCTATGCCCCTTAGAGATCCACCAGCAAAATGTTTGCTTCCCACCCCCATGACTTGAGGCTCCGCTGGGCCAGAGGGCTTCGCTCCAAAGGGAGGAACGGTTCCCCCCAGAGACACAGTGATCCTGCAGAGAACAGGGCTGCTGCTCTGGCTGCGGGGACAGATCCTGACCGTCATCACTGGGAAATCAGGTTTCTCCCGTGTGGGAGTGAGAGAGTAGGTCCGCAAGACAGGAGGTTCCTCACGGCCTCTCTCAGGACGTGTAATCCCTGTGACACGGTCAATGGAAAACGATACCAACCCAAGTCCAGCAGGACTAGTGATCGAGAGCCTTCAAGAATGAAGGTTGGGGGAATTCCCTGGTGGTCCAGTGGTCACGAGTTGGCACTCTCACTGCTGGGGCCCCAGGTTTGATCCCTGGTCGGGGAACTAAAATCCCATAAGCCACATGGCGCGGCCAAGAAAAAGAAAACAAAACAACGAAGCTTGGGTCACCCACCGGGCAAAGGACCATGACCAGTTAAGATGCTTGTGGTGGGCAAATGGAATATGGGATGGGTGGTGGGAGAAGGTAGCTATGAATACCAGCTACAATCATGTGACTAGTCACAGACATGAGGACTGACACTGTTATGAGTATTGCTTCCTTTTTTTGATGTGAATATGTGTGTGTATGTATTAATCAAATGCTTTTATTTTATTCACTTTCTCACCCCTGTATCATCTAACATAAGATGTGTTCGTAACAGTTAACGCTGTATATCAGTATTGAAGTTTGGGGGATCAGAGGAGAAGTGTGAACATCAACACACAAGGACTTTGCATCCTTTGGGGAAAGGGTTAGTGTGTTTTTGTTCATATGGGGGTCCGTTATGTCCTGGTAGGTGGGGGGTTGACTGTTAGTGTCTTTTTCTGGAGACTATGGTTTAGGGAGCTGTGTATAGGAGGCAAGCTGGTAAGGGGTGGACTGTAATGGTCAGTTTGTAGGTCAACTTGGAGGCTGAACCACAGTCCTGTTGTTCAATCAAACACCGACCAAGGTGCTGCTGTGAAAAGATTTTTCTTTCACAGAAAAATCACACAAAGCCCCTCCTTAGTTACTTTAAGTTTGATCAAAAGGGAGTTTACCCTGGGTGGGCCTGACCTAATCAGGTAAGACCTTGAGGTCTTCCCAGAACTCAGGAACCCCAAACGGCTCGTGCCCCTGGGATTCCAGCCTGCTTGTCATCTTCCGTCCTGACCACCTGCCTGATGGACTTCAGACTGGCTTAGCCAGCCTCCTCTTTAGTCAGCCAATGTCCTATAATAAATGCATATGGATATCTATACATCTATATCTGTATTGCATCTTTAACTCTCTTTCTAGCTCAGTCTATCTCCTACTGGCTCTGGTAGAACCTTGACTGATGCAGCCACCGTCACCATAGCCATTACAGCTAAAATCACCACTGCCCTGGTCACCATGGCCACCATCCAATTCTATGGCCATGGCAACGTGGCATCCACTACCTGGCCAGGAGAAGCCTGGGGATGGGCCCCGAGCTGACTCTGTCCATACACACGGGTGCAGGGAGATTATCCCAACCCAGCATGGGTCTCAGCCAGCAGAATCTCCACTCCCCATCTGCAAAGAGAGGGGATGGAAGCTGAGAGTAAGTCTCCATGTCGGAGCCTGAAGTGATCCTAGTATAACCTGTGGCCAGCCCCAAAACGAGCTATCTCTTACAGGGGGGCCTCCTGAGTGCCGGGAAACGTCTTAAGCCACATTTTGTGGATCCAGTTGCAAGCACATTAGGGTGGCCCCAGGATCATTCCCCTTTTCCAGATGAAGAAACCGAGGCCCAGAGAACAGTGACTTACCCAAGGTCCCTGAGTGGACAGAGACAGGAGCTGGGGTTGAACCCAACTCTGCCTAACTCCAGACCTGCACACTGCCCAGTCTGCAAGTCTGATCTCACAGGCAACTGGCCTATTTCCTCCATGTAGGGAACCTGAGGCTCCGAAAGGTTGAGGCACTTGCCCTAGGACACACAGATAGGTGGAAAACCGGATATTTGTTTCTTGGGGTTTTTTTGGGGGGCCGTGCTGTGCAGCTTGTGGGATCTTAGTTCCCTGACCAGGGATTGAACCTGGACCCTCGGCAGTGAAAGTGCGGAGTCCTAACCACTGGACCGCCAGGGAAGTCCTCAAAACTGGGGTGTTTGAACCTCACATCAATCCTCTTTTCGGACACTTTCCCATCTCCACTGAAGTGAGGCATGGCTTGCTCTGACCCAAGAATGCAGCCAACACAATATGCGTCAGTCGTAGACAGAAGTTTACATACAGGTCAGTGCATGATTCACCGTGTGCCCTCCCACCTCCTCAGTGGTCGTGGAAACCCACGTTAAGATGGAGCCTTCCCTGGGCACACGGCATTGGTGAAGGCACTGGGCCGGTGGGCTCGTTTGTTACTGCAGCAGATCTAATCCATCCTGACCGACGCTGCCTCCCGGGTTCAGTGACCGCCCCCGCAAGGTTCCCCATCCCGGGAAGGCTCCTGAGGGCTCCCACAGCCGTCCCTGCTTTGGGGCAGACGCGTACCCTGGCCGCACCCTCACTCACCAGAGTCCGTGAAAAGCGGGATGCCCCTGGCCCTACTGCCCTGGGCCTGGGCTACCCCTGCCACCACCTCCGCCAGCTGGCCGCTGTCGAAGCTGAAGCTTGTCACCACGCTCCTGTGCGGCGTGCTCGCCATGCTGGGCTCCTGGAGTTGCTGGCTGCCCACCGAGCCCATGGCAGCCCTGCTGCCGGGAAAGCAGATGACGCAGGTTGGGGAGGCCAGGAGGGGATCCCTGCCCCACTGCCACGCGGCCAAGCCTGCACCCCCGGGGGACCACCCTATCCATCCCACCCACCTTGAAACAGCACGCAGGGGCACACAAACCTAAGTGGACGAGTGATGTCACGTGACTTGTGTCTTAAGATGCTCCCTGGCTGCAGCGGAGAGCAAGGCTGCAGGCCTGCGTGAGGGCGGCGGCAGTGGGCACAGCGGAGAGAAAGAGACCGGGGGGAGGGGGTGGGGGGGAGAAATATTCTGAACACTTGTGTGCCAGCACCGTGCTCGAGCGTCCCACGAACCATCTCCCTCTGGGAGGGGGTTCAGACATTCACTCATTTGACAGCCGATGTTAGAGCGTGAACGTCCCCCCGGCCCACCACCCCGATCTCACAGGCAGTAAGCGGTGGGGCCTGAACCCGGACCCAGGCCTGTGGGACCGTGAGCCACCACGGCCCACCGTTCTGGGGCCGACCACGCGGGGGAGCAGAAAGCCCTCCCTTTGGTCTGCCTCCGTTTCTCTGGTCCGTAGCCCTTATCTTTGGAGGAAAGGAAGGAGCTGATTGATCCTTGAGGGAGTAACACCCCCATTGTGTAGGTGACCCTGTGGGTGTTGGGGGGTCTAGTTTTTTCCCTGAAACATTGATCAGTTTGTTTTTCTGACAACTTTTATTAATTTATCTGACTGCCAAAAGGATACAAATTCGCTGTAGAGAATTTGAGACAAAGATGGGACACGGAAGCACCGGGTACTGAGCGTAGCACTTCCGCTTCCTGGGCCACCCCGAGCACGTATGGGGGAACCCACAGAAGAAGCCGGGAGACAGACCGCTTCCCAAGGGATCCCACGTGCCTGGCGCTACTCCGAGTCTCTCTGAGGATGGCGCCGGCCACGCCCAGCTCCCCCACCTCTGCTTGTCCCATCTAACGTCCTTCCTGCCTCAGTTTACCTGCTCCCCAGCCTCCAGGCGGGTGTGCTGACCAGTGACGGGGTGCCTCCCCTGGGCTTCTCCCCTTCCTTGCTCCCCATAGAGTTTTAGTGGGGGTCTGAGAGCTCGGGACCATCCCTGATTCCAGGTGGGCCCTGGGGACTGGGTAAATTCTGGTCTTGCCCTCCCGGGGCTGACCCGGCCTGATGCGCGCCCAGCAGCAGCGGCGAGGGGGGTTGCAGGTCTCCTCCCGGGGCCTGGGAAGCCAGGCGTGAACCCCTCTGGTCTCGGTGCGCTTCGTGTTGCCCCCAGCCCCGGGCCTCCTGCTGCATCTGGAGCTGGGGGGCCGAACAAGACACAGGACAGAGCTTGGCCTGGGTTCGAATGACTGTGGCCTTAGGCAGGATCCTGCACTGGAGGCTTGGACACCCTCGGTCCCCAGCCACCCAGCGTCCTGGGTGGGGCCGGGGAAGGGGCCAGCGGCAGAGCGGCGGTCTACAACGGGCACTCCTCCCTCCAGCCCCGGAGGATGTGCACCCCCGACCCCCTGGGCCGTGTTCCCCACAGAGACGCGGCGGCGCCCCAAGCCTGCCGGGGGCCCCCCCCCCGCTGAGGTCTCCGCCCCGCCCAGAGGCCGCGCCCCCCGGGAAGGCGGACGTGTTCCGCGACAAGCCAGGAGGCCGCCCAACTGCTCCCTCCCGCTCAGCGGGTGAGGCGGGCAGCTGCCACCCACTGGGCCCCCCTCAGTCACTGTCCCCACGTGCTGCTGCAGTCCGCCTCCAGGGAGGTGCTCTGGCTCCCCCTGCGGCGGCCCCATGACCCCTGATACCACCTTCCATGGTGGCAGGGCAGAGGGTGCCCCGAGGCTGCCCCCACCTCTCCTGGGCTGCAGGCCTCAACCCG